CCCTAATTATTTCATAAATACACGTGGTAAACGCGCTGTCTGTTTTCGACTTTTCTGTATAGTGTGAAGCAAGCGGAACCTGTATGAGCAAGGTGCGACAAAGGAGTTGTACAAATTTCGGATATTTTACAGTACTAGGCGTGGACCGTTGTAATTAGGAAAAGAAGCAGAAAGTAAGAGCACGTGCAGGAATGTTCACTTCCGGTGATTGTGTATTTCAAGTCCGGTCTCGCCATTTTTTTCCTTATAAGAACCAGTATAGTTTTACTAGTTTTACAGTCTCCAATCTGTTTGTTCCCGCGTCCATTAAAACTTAGCCCACGTAGAAGCTTTCTTTCCGACGCCAATGATTAAAATAATTTCTCAAGAAATTATATGAAACTTCTGTTTTAAAATGTCAACGTGTTTCCTTCATGAAACACAACTCTTGCGAATCGCTCAAATAACGATACTATTGGGTAAGCTTCCGCAGTCAATTGGCTTGTTAGTTTCCCATTAAAGGAAAAGAAGAAAAGTAGATGAAAAAACAGTTCCGCTGTCAGCGTTAGCAGTTCTTCATCTACATACCATCTTGAGGAATAACCATGTTGGCACCTAGTTTCAAACGTTAAGTGCATGGCATGAGCCAGTTACCAAATATTTTGGTTAAGGACTGTCCTTGTGCAGACCAGAAGACTTATCAGCCTTAAGATCGAGTTTACAAGTCGAAAACAAATCGTGGTTTTTCTCTCAAAAAGTTGTTTGTTGAAAATGTATTCTTTTCTTTGATGATAATTAAGTCTAAATTTAAAAATGCTGTCAGCACTCGTTGTAACTGAGGTACTTATTTCCAAACGATCCGTTTTGTCTCTCTAAGGGACAAAGAAATTTGAAAGTCAAAAAAGCCGCAGACTCCAAATCGATCGTCAAACTATAAACTTATAAAATATTGAATCTTTAAATAATTAATTAGATATTGCTAACACGCGATTTATTTCCGAAATGTGGACTGAAAGAGTTTCATTAAGCCAATTTCCCCCCCAAAAAAATCTCTTTGCGATGACGTAATAAGAGGAAGTTTTTGAGTAAGAGTTGTTCCCAACGCACTCGACCTCCTTGGAAACTGCGTCGGCCTATATTGTTTGAGAACCTTTTACCACAAAGTTTTTAAACAAACAGAGTTTATGTTACAAAGGAAACATATGTACTAGTTGAAAGTGTCAGAAATTCGGATACAGCTGAGGAAATACCACGCAAACGTGGATATAGGTCGAACTCATCCTTCTCTCACTTACCTCTGTGCCTTAATTATCATAAACGTATTTATAATTATCATCTAAAGGAGCAAGGGTGTATTCTTTTTGCCCGTGATCAAAACTCTGCAAAGTTTGATTGAAAATTGTGCGGAGCAAATTTTGCAGTAGTTAAACAAAGCTTTACATTGCGTCTTGTAACATAGGCGGATCACGTCAAAGAAATTACAGGACTCATGTTAGGAAAGAAGCAAGAAAGACACGGTTATGACCAATTGGTGAATTGGTGAATTGAACACAACAGCTTATCAGACAGCTATGTGGTTAAAAACGCTCAAAGCTTGTTTCGCGATTGCATGTATATGTTCAATAAAGTACACACCGTGAAACATAACGAAGAAAGGACCTTTTCTGAAAATATTTCGAGACAACTATATATCTAAATATTACAGAGCTAGAGAATGCATATTAGCAAGAGTTTCGATATCTCTTTGTTATAATAAAGCAAATCAGTTTTCCTGCAGTTTCGTGCACACAACCTTTTGTTAGACGTTGGGTAAAACCTGAACTGTGAAACTTATCATAACGCAAGATGTTAATTTTTAAAACGCGTTGTTTGAAAGGAGTTTTAAGCATGTCGCAATGTTTGCTCTTAAGGACGTGATGGTTTGCACACATGAGCTCGACAATGATCAGTAGCAAAATATTAAACGCACAAGAATTATTCACAATATATAACAACCCTTACGAGCTTACCGAGCTTACCATCTTGAAGGAAATACTCCAATATAACATAAAACCAGAGGAAACATCACGACCTGTTTCATATGTTCACTCACGCTAGGCTGGGTAATCGAGTGTGAAGACGACAAATGTGCATAATTTAAGTTTGTTTAGTTTCGTCATGTCATGCTGACACAATTTTAAGTGTGCTAAATATTTTGCCTTTTAAGTGTGCCTGATATTTTGCTTCGGTGCATTCTCTGATAACCTCTCATTTTAAGTTTGATGAACCCAAAGACTGTGTGAAGTAAAGCGGATCACTGAGTCAAAATTTGAAATAACACTGAAACGAACGGTTTTGTGTATTAGAAAGAACAAACATTGAAATAATCTGCTCGATAAATATGAACGCGCTCAGACATAAACGTTCTCCAGATGGAAGAGCAATGTCAAGATGCGATGTTGTGCGCGGTAATACGTTTTAAAGAAGTTAACATCTTTTATAATTCAATGATTCAACTAAATTAGATTAAAAATAGTTTTATTTAAATTAAGGAGGTTGTTATGTCTGTTTGAATTCTACAACGAAGGCTATTTACATATCAAACTATGTTGCACGTGTAATTATATTAACGGAATAACATAATACCCGAACGATGTTAAGATTTAAACTCCTTAAAATCTGTTGAAAAAGTTAAACCACCGCACTAATAATATCAATTATCGCAATTCTCGAGTCTCGAAGACAAGTGAGCTTCCTTGCGATAAGTAAACTAACTAAGTAATTAGAAAAATTATTTGATGGGCTCTGACATAATTTTAGGATTTGCCAAAAGGTGAAAATTTTACTGGTCGACAGTAAATTAAAAAGAGGCGTTCACGAGGTGCAAACTTCCTTCACGAAATTTCCTTCCCGTCATCAAGTGGGAGGAATGATCTTAACATGATTAAGGAATTAGCAAATTATTGAAGAGGATTTAATAATGAACAATTAATATGTCGTGAGTTCCAGGTTTTCGTGAACTAATTTCAAGGCAACGGAACAGGTGGAAGGAAATGTTTGTTAATTTGTTTGCCTTAAAACACGGGGGGAAGTCGATGGGAAGTCGATGACAGAAAAGAAATGGGGGAGCAACAGTCGCATAGGAAACTGAAGTTAAACGCTTGTTAGCTACGTTTTAAACACGGAAAACTTAATGGAAAGCACATCACTCATCAATTTACCTTGATTTTCAAAAAAGTCGTCTAGCAGAAACAACTAAATGCCATTCGCATTAAAAAGAAGACGCAAATAGATCGTTATGGCTATTGAAATGGTAATTTGAACCATCGCGACGTTTAGGTTATATTTTCGCGGTTGGGTTCTGGATGAAGCTAAGACACTGTTATTACTATATCGTACAAATGCTTTCTGTACTATTTCGGCTCTAAAATTTCAACCCTAAACATGTTCACAATCCAAAGATCACGCGACCGTGAGAGAAATTGTTTTACAAGTAACGGAAGAATGCTTTTCGGGACAAAATAGCAAAAAATATACCGCATTCCATTTAGCATACAGATATTTATAGTGTAAGTGACCTTAAACAAGTTGCAACTTTTAACTAAGAACGCTATACATTCCAAAACTTAATATTCCACACTTTTTAAAAAGTTGATTAAAATTGCTCAGAAACCTACCACAGCTAATTCAAGCACAGAAGAAAACGGAAAGATCGACATATTTTAGTCACCCAGGATTAAAGGCACAAAATTTTTGGTTTGAAAATCATTTTAAGACAGGAAGGTTTCCTTTTTCGGATAGTTAAGTTATTTTTATCATAACGGAGAGAATTATAAACTTGAAAGCGGAACAAAAAGAAAAGTGAACACGCGTTACTAGTTTCTCTAGGTGGGGGGACAAATTTGAGGAGCATAAAAAATCAACGTGGTGTGATCCACGAAAATAGCAAAAATGTCACCAGAATGGCACTCCGCAGACATCTAACTGTACATTTTAACAATATCAAGTTTATTTTCCTTGTGAGAAGTTAACGAGCACATGCGCGTAGGAAGCATAATATTATGAACTGGAGCTGAGGTATCACTCCAATGTTGACGCCACAAATAATATATAAGAAGACGTACGAAGCCCTGGATCGCAGAAGCTTTCTGAACCGAAAGGCAGATTAAGAGCAAGCACGGAACCTGAAGACGGCAAGCATAGGACCGAGTAACGTCTAGCTACCCAGTGAGAGTAACTTACAACTGAGAAGAGCTGAGTGCAACAATCCTTAATTCAATTTTCATTCAAGATCAAATCTCAAGCAATGGTTATCAAAAAGGTAAGATATCTGTTAAGTTCTGAACCTTTATAGACTGTGTATTAAGTAAAAACTAACTGAAAACGAGTGTTTATTTTATTACGTAAGCAATAGTCTAATATTTATCCAGTCTTCTCTGTCTTTCTACAAGACGGAGTTACATTAGTCTGGAAAAGAAATTTTCGGTCATTAATTTCATCAAGATTCGCCAACAAAGTTCGAAGTGGATTTAAAGTAAAAATAAAAACTTCTTTGTAAAATCTCTTGTTAGCGTTTGGTTTCCATGAGGCTAATTCGTAACATAAAAAAAGGTTTTCTTACGCGGGTAGCCGAACATTTGCAACAAATTTAAATTTTATCTGTAAATGCTCTTAACAGAAATCTCTACGGAAAAATCGTTGGAGAAAAAAATATACTATCTGATAATCTTAACACTTTTAACTATAAAAACCCAAACACTAGGCAGTACGCATTCTCACAATTCATTTGAAAGTAAAATCTCCCCTCTCGGTCGCGAGTTAATGGTAAACGCACTCTCGTGTAAATCTTTAAAGCATCACATGTTTTGAGACTGATTTGAAACAAATCTTAAATTCAAATTATTGGTATCATCACTAACACCCACCGATTACTTTATGCGGCATAAGTTAGCCATTGGTATCATTTGACTGGCTTTTTGTTTTTTAGTTTTTTTAATGAATCGTTCTTGCGTTCCTTGATCAGAACGTGAAGCTGAACAAAAAAAGAACAAAAAAATAATTTTTTCTTTAGTAATTTATTATCTTGCATGAAATTGGAACTTTATGAAATCTATGTCCTCTTTCACGTTGCCCACGAAACTCCCTCGCCAGTAGTAACTGACTTGCTTGTCAATTTTACGTCAATGTATTGACTCTAAATTTGTGAGACAAAGGAGACGTGCTGACGTAAGGGCTAGCGCTCTTAGCACTACTCTGTACTATTATATGTTTATCTTTTTGTGTGTGTTTGCTTACTCCTCTTTTGTTTGTTTGTTTGTTTGTTTGTTATTTAGTTTTTTGTTTTTCTTTAGCATATGTAAGTGATCAGGTGCGATGTTTAATAATCTTGTGGAAACGAAAAATGATGAAAGAATCCTTTTTGTTTCGTAATTCGCAGTTTTTGATGTGTGCGATTTTCATTGCGGTTATCATTTTTGGCTCCATGTCACCACCTGGTTGCAGCGGCTGTGTGGCGAGACAAAACTTAACTGATACTCAAATGATGCAACGGATTCGCCAAAGGGGCTACCTTTTCATGAAAAACAAGCTCATTGGTTCTAATGGCTCCCAAAACAACTTCCCCAACGGGGCGCATGCAGGTACCACACTATGTCCGTGGAAATGGGCTTTAGATGACAATCCCGACCGACTTCCCAGATTCCTATCAAAAGCTGTATGTCCTTCATGCAATCATTACTGCAAAGCCATACACTATACGCACACCTCTCTCATTCAGCGGTGCGATCGAACAACCGGTCTGATGTATTGGTCGTGGATGCCAAAGACAATGGCAATAGCTTATGTGTATGTACCTAATAGAAAATAATCCATCGTCAAGATGAACCGGCTGCCAGACAAAATATCTCTGGAGAACAGTACTAATGAACGAGGTTGCTAGTCTAGTTATCACATAGAAGTTGGTATAAAATAGGTTTATGAAACATGCGGCAAAGAAGGTATAACTAGTTACAGAGAACTAATAGCATAGTTCTCAGAAGCAGCCTATCAACAATATCTTAAGTGCTTTTTTAAATTACAGCTCGGTTTCTGGAATTTAGGTTATATTTTATTTACATTCAATGTTCAGAATAACGTTTCTGACAAGAAATTTGCTTGTAAATCTTGTAGAATTAATTGGAATTCTAGTATTGTTTATGGCAATATTTTATTTAAATGGTATGTTTATAAAGTTTTAAGACAAGAAATTCGACGAAATTTTAAATTAAAAGACAGTGCAGTGCGGTTAATCTGTAACTTCCTCTAACTTCGATTAAATTGAAATCTGAATCAAAGCATTTTCCATTTGAGACGGCTTCTTTTACTTTTAGTGATATAAATAAAATCGATTTATCCATCAAATTGTTAAATTGTTGTACAAAAGTCTACTATAAATGCAAGACCCAAGTTCGCCAAATATAACAGCGAGTTTTGGACTCGGCACAAGACAAAAGGAAAAATTTCGAGAAGACTTATCAAAACACGGACGCACAACAGCGGGTCTTACCTTGTCCTTTACATTTACCTGTTACTCTGTTATTTCAGAAAAAATTGATAGATTCGCTTGCCGTCGAATTTTACTCCGGTGAAATACTAGTATCCTATGAACAAGGATTTCCCGTAGAGTTTCTAACTGTCCATGACCACCCAATGGCATTGAAATTACAATATTAAAAAAAAAAGACGTCAAGAATCAAGCGAACACTGAAATGTTAAATAAATGCAGATTTGTTCACGCAAAAAATGTTGTAAAAGATGCAAATTATCTTACAAGCTGTAAATGTTTGTTAAATAACACTTTTTTGGTCGCGCCTGAAAATTTGAAGGTAAATCAAAAATAGTACTCCCAAGTTGACAATAATCTAAATTTGAGAGGTGAAAGGGTTACAAGATAAGTGTCGTTTATTATCCTTGCCTAAGAACCGCTCGACATAAATCAATTCTAATTGAGTCCCCAGACGTTATCGAAGACATCTATCGCTTACTCACCTTTTTTTAATTTTTTTTAATTTTTTTTTTCACGTCGTTTTTGCTAATGTCGGCATCTTCCCTAATTCGAGAGGTTCTAATCAAAAAGCAACTCCCGACTACCAGCAAATGAATTGATGGTTATTGAACCAAAATGTACGAAATGGTGAAGTTTCACTTTGGAAAGCCTTTTTGTGGAGTTTTTCATGAGCCTCCTTATCTTTCTCAGAGAAATTTAATACCTAATTGTGTTTAATGTGCACAATTATATCGTGACAAATAGTTCGCTAGACAATACGCGCAGCACACGGCAAACTAAACATCAGAAAATAGTGTAGTATTTTCTGGATGTCAATATCTGTACTTTCTACAAACGATATCGTTTTAAATTCTTGTTACCATTATTTATTACTTACACCAGTATTCCCTACATAATAATAATACAATGCTAGCACAAATTACGAACGTTATTGTATCTGCCCACATTACGTGAACGGAATAAAAAGTAACTGGAAGGCTAGATGCCGGGGCAGTGAAACGTTCTCGTAACTCAGCTGCAATCGATCTCCCAATACATTAAATTTTGCTTTTAGGTTTCCCTTTGCCTTGAAATCAGCTGACTTTTTCTAGCATTTTGCCCTATTTTCTTTTTCAGCCACTGTACGGCAACTATGACCAAGAACACTGGCATGCTCACCTTTCCCGCCGAACGCATAGTAAGTTGCGATGAAACGAAAACGTAAACACAGTGAACGATTCTGTTGAGTGACGGTTTAATTTAAGCAATGAGACGAAGAGCGGTACAACTCAATCGTCCTTGACCATGGTTTTGAATATAATTACTACAGGAGGCTTCAAGAACCGACGGAAAGGACTCTTCTAAGAACCATGAAAACATTTCAAAGTTATTTCCCGTAGAAAAATAAAAAAAGATAAAGGTTTTGTACTTACCAACTAAATATTGCACTGTCGTCAATAAATGGCGACCCTTATACACAAATTAATTTATATTACTGGCGGCGAGAATGACTCAATTCGTTATCAGGAGTTCCACAAAGAGGTACAATTGATAAATTTCCATTAAACATTCTCCTACCAATTACCAGATAATTTTTTTTTTTCGTCAAGTATAAATGCTGGTCGCCAACATGCACGGCAAATAAGCGGGTAAAACTGTAATAGATTCTAAGTTTGCCGCCGCATAAAACGCTAATTAAAACACCGGTCAAATTCCGTGGATTCACACCAATGACCAAGAGGAGAGAACAAATTTCGCTACAGCTCGTGAATCCTCTAACAATTCGTCGAAAGTGATAACGACTGAAAAACTCAGAACAGTGCACACGGTAGTGTTTGAATCTCCTTCCACCGTGAAGCCGTACGCCTTTTAGAGGATAAGTTGAAAGCTCTCTGAAAGCATGAATGTTTCGCTGTTGATTCTTGAGAGTGTAGATGAATTTCCCTTTCCGAATTTAATACAACCATACTGAAATACTCTATATCGCCGCAGTAATTACTTCTCCTGAATAAACATGTTTTCTTCAAGGAGCACACGTCAGCCTGACCTGACATTCACCGTGGGGGAGAACTTATGCGCGCGCATCACCGGATGTCAAGTTACCACTTCCGCTTGAATTATGAGTTGTTTACTTCCAATAAAGACTTTTTTCCAACCAGTTTAATCGACCTTATTCTGATAAGAATTGCGTTCGAAGAAGTACTACATCTAGATTATTCAGATATCAGCATAATGTATAGATAAAGCCAAGCCTAAAAGCGGAGCTCGCATTTTTTTTTTCCCGCACGTCTCAAGGGCACAGGATTAGAACCCGGGTCGTCTGTCTCGGAGCCCAGTGCACTGACCACTGGACTACTGAACAAAGCCGTGGCGCATGTTAAAAGTAGCACTTTGTACGGTCGTACGGTCATACATCCAAATTTTTTCGGCTTGATGGGTTTCAACTATTTTGTATAACTAGTTATAGTTCTCACTAGAGCTGCCCCCGCCCTACAGTACCATTTT